TATTCATTATCTTTCCAGAAGATAAGTTATGAATGCAACTGGAAAATTATATATAGAGCAAGTCTCTTAAATAGAGGATGGTAACTGTGCATATGGATTTTTCCTAATGCTACCCGAGAGAAGGGAAAGCTGATCTATTTCAGAAAAATATTTTAGTTTATTTACTTCTTTTTGTGACAACAATGGGGGTTTTTTTGAGAAGTATAGAAGTGTTGCTTTTGGAAAATTATTTTTATAATGCAAGTATCAATGGCACTGAGAACTTAGGTAAGTAGGACCTGTCATTTTATACTTCTGGTCAAGTATGAAAATACCTAGCATGAAATGTTTTGGACTGACATCTCAATAAAATGTTAATTCAGACCATTAAGACTTCAAACAAGTGTTACACTTTTTTTTTTTTTTTTTTTTTTTTTGGAGGCTTTTTTTAGTTAATTTTAAAATTCTTTCCCTGATGACTCCTGTTGCCAAGACTATAGTTTTATAGGAAAGAAAAAAAACTTGTGCTGGCTGGAAGTTTATGATAAGATTTTGGTTGTTTTTGGTTCAGCATCTAGCCTATATTCTGTAGTATGCTACTAGAGAAGAGAGGAGCTGTCAGTTTTAAAGATGACTGATGAACCTTGGGTTAAATCCAGTCCCTGCCTAAGGACATTCTTTTGTGTAAAATATTGCACAGAATTACTTGAATTCATTATCTGCAAGTTTTGATGCTGCCATTGACAGTTTAATTTAGGCGTTTTGAACAAGCTGGTTATCTAAAATACTAACTGATGTAACCAGATAGAGAATGGGTGTTTTAAACTCCTGGGTCTATGTACAATGACCCTGGCCTATGTACATCCTTTATTCTTAGTGATTTCACACTGTTTAAGAACTGAGGTTCCTTACAAGAAGCTCTGTTTGCCCCAAAAGATCCTATTCCTCATCCAGGAATTCCTTCTTAACTGGACAGTTGAGTTCATTTTTTCTTTCTTAATAATGTCATTTTGATCTCAAAAAGTGTGTTTGTTGTTAGTTTTTTGAGGCAGTTTGTGTTGCTGTTTTGTGGTTTGTTTGTTCATTTGTGTTTTTGTGGTTTTGGTGGGGTTTTTTTTTTTTTTTTTTTGTTTTTTCTTTATTGGCATGCTTACATGTCTTTGATTGAATATATGTCCTCAGTTTCAAGTTCCTCTCCACCTGCCCACAGTGTGACCCCCTGTGACATCTGTAGAGTGCCTTGCAATTGGATACAACTGCTGTATTAATGAAGGCTTTTTGTTGCAGCAAAGGGACTTTTTCTTTCCTGCAAAAGCATAAAATGCCTGTGGCATAGATGTCCTATGAGCATCAAAGCATGGAAATAATTTTCATTTCAGTTTTGTTTTTGTGGGTCTTTTTAAATTTAGATGTTATATTGTGTACTTGAATATTAGTTTCTCCATGTGTCTGAATTGTTTAGAATGAATACTTAAAATTCATCTTACATATTGGGGTTCACTGTTATTTGTCTCTGCCCCGATACGGGTTACTCTACAGTATTTCAGTATCTCCTTTAGTGTTTATGTTCCTAGCTTCCTTGTTTAGTTCTAAGGGATAAAACAATTCTTAAATCGCCTGTCATGGGTTGTTTTCTTCTATTGCACTGAAATATTCTAAAGACTAAGAACCATATAAATATTTTTATATAAATCCTGTAAAAACAACCTTATTTTATATTTATGAATTTTATTATGAATATTTATAACACAATTTCCCTTCTTAATTGTTAGTCCATTTTCATAGCTTTAAAATATACACAGCTACTAGAAATATTATGCTGGTATGATAGTGCAAAACTAGTTTTTAGTCTATTTGAATTATTTTATGTAATGTCATTGAAATTCAGAATTTTACAGTAAGTATACCAAAATACTTGTAGACGCTGAATCTTAAGTAGAAGGAAATCAGCAGTGGGAAAAACGAATTAAGGAAAAAGTTGATGACTATTAATAATGTTTAAATTAGAAATTAAGAAACTCTGCTTACACCATATAATAATGTATATATGTGATAAATACTCCTTTTCCACCAAGTGTGTTGAATTTTCTTGAGGAGTTGCTTTCTCAAAGTAAGTTTTGCACCAAATATGCACAAGTCTGTGTTAGCAACCACATTGGGTAGTGCTTGTACCAGAGTTTCCTGATTACTTTCTCAGTGTTTAAATACATGGTTTCATAAAGACTATTGTGGCTTTTCAACCAAACGTAAAATGCCTAGAACCTAATTTAAAAACTCTTTCACTGTACTGTAATAAAAGGAAAACCATTTTGCAGTATGATGGAGTAAATATTTGTTGATGATTGATCTAAGAATTACTTAATTGTGCATCTGGACAAGCTGTATTCATCTGGCCAGTTGTGGGTGTGCAGATGGTCAGTACCAGATGTGTGCCACATAACAATGGCCGGCATTATGCAGCTGCCGTCTCTTCCATGATACAGGTGTGGGCAATGGTTTGCCCTGCTTACCAAACATTTGCAAGCATATGAAGTTAAAGGGAACATAGCTATTATATAATTAGTATGCATGTTGAACTGCTGCTTGATTAGAGGGAAAGCAGTTATTCTGCCATGGCTCATTTTGATGATGCATTCTCTTAACATATTAGCTTTAACCTTTGAGGATTTCATTTAAATCCTGACTGTGCATCACAGCCGAAAAGATGTGTATTTATTCCCAAGTTCTGAGAAGGCATTTTTCCACATGATAAAGTGCATGTGTACTTGATTAGCTGTTGTTACTTTAGGGTATGTGGCTACACATACTTTTGCAGACTGGGGCTAGCACATCTGAATAGTGTAGACTCTTGTTCACCATTTTTCTGCTTTACAGCTACTTATGGCTACAGATTTTAAGTATAAAAGCTCTGCTTGCATGAAACTATGCTATTGTTTTCTCCTTTTGAATAATAATCATACAGGAGTAAATGTGGGACACAACAGAGAGCAGGCAGTGGAAGTTTGCCAACTGCCATATGGTGCTAATATTGGCGGTGGCATTCTGTATTGTAAACTCAAGACCTGCAGTAGTTTATGCATTTATGCAGTGTGACCTTACATTGTTGTCAAAATGTATAACCATCACATCATTTTACAGGAATTATGAAGTGTCAGGTTTATTACACATTGAGAATATTTGGACAGCCTAAGACCTAAATGTTCTAATGTGTCCATGTGGAACAATAGATTAATAGATTAAGAAGAGGCCATGGCAAAGATTGTATATTCTCAGGAACCATTTTAAAGTCAAGATTAAGATCTGCTAATTTAAAGAATCTGGGAATTTATATTACCCAGCAAACGCTTTTTTTTTTTGTTTGTTTGTGTAGCTTTTTTAGTTTTTTTTTGACATGAAGCATCAAAATATATCCTAAATATACATCTTTACATGCTCTGTATTCCTGACATAGTGTGTGTATGCATGGAAATAAGAGAGGGAATATAATGAAATATATCGTGTATGTGCTTAATCCATCAGTAAGTATCACATGTAGAGGTTTACCCACATTTACAGGCAGAGAAGATTTAGGAAGACATTGAGCAGTTTCACATATACACATAAACATTGGAGTGGTAGTGGGCTAGACTGTGATACTCTGAACATTTATGGTATTTTCCACTGTAGTTAGTCTGATCGATCGTAAATTTGGCTCTGAAATATGAATGAGCAGAAGACTAAACCTTACTCTTTCAAGCAAAATTAATTTGTCTAAATATCGCCAGCTTAATTTTTAGTTTAAGCAATGTAATTTACTGCATCATGGAGTTCAGTAAGTAATTGACCATATTACTTTATTTAGTTTCCACATTGCCAGTTTTGGGCAGGGTAATAAATCTTTACTTAGTGCCAAGTATTGCTTCCTGTGAAATGATTGTTTGTGATGCTGTCATGCTACACATACACATTTAGTGCTGTTTTTAACAGCCCTTCATAACTTGGGAAATGGATAAACAAATGCAGCTGGACCCCTGAAGGGACGTTGCATTTCCTTTCCTGTGAGATTTTAACCATACCATGCTGTTCCATCATACCAGCAATCAGCACCCCATGGCTCCTATCTAAATATCCTAACTGATTTGTAATCTGCCAACAGATTTGATTTGTGTCTGCCACCATCAGTTGAAACAAATGCCTATGGAGCCACAGTGGCTAGCATGATTTTGACTTGTGATTTTTGTCCTTCACTTGATTGATGTTAATTGCTTCTGTATTTGAAAGGCAGAGCTTCCTGAGCTACCACCACCTGAAAGTTCTGGTGCTTGGCACAGTTCTGTCATTTGGCACATGAATCTGAGGTGGAAGATGCTAGCTAAGGCAGTTGCTTGCTTCCTTGCCTGGTGAGCTAGGAGCTTGAAAGGAAGGAGTTGAAGTCTACTGTGGATGTAACTGTCTGGTCAGAGAGAGAGAAAGCTAGATAAGCTTTCCCATTAATTGGTCTGAGGGAGCTGGAGAGAAAGAATTGTAAATAATCCGCAGGTCTTTTGTGATAAGCTGTTTTGCCCATAAGGTTGTTTACAGATGGGTGATTTCTTAATTAACCAATAGTGATTGTGTTTTGATTGAAGGACCAATCAGGTCCACCTGTAGCAAACTAGAGTATAAAAAGGAATGGGTTTCCTAACAAAGTGAGTTAGCCTTCTGATTTTGGAGTCTGTGTCATCTTGACTCAATGGTGACAGTGTGCTTACTTGATAATTATTAACTCTCTCATTTTCTTTAGACATTATCCATGACCCTGGCTCAGTTTAGGTGATTATTAATTGTTCAGTGATGTTCTCAATGTGCTTTGAACAAAAGTCTAATGAACAGAGGGTGGAGTGCTGTGCCTCTTGCTTAGCAGTGTTCTTGCTCTTCAGGCAGCTGGATTAGGACAGCTCTACTTGGCTCAGTACTATTATTTTTAATAAATTTATATGTTTCTAACCTGCAAAATGCATCTCAGTTATTCTAAAATGTTCTTCTCATCTTTGCTTCCATAGTACCAGGATACGAATATGCAAGGTGTAGTGTATGAATTAAACAGCTACATAGAGCAGCGCCTGGATACAGGAGGAGATAACCAACTGCTTCTGTATGAACTGAGCAGCATCATTAAAATAGGTAAGAAGGAGATTCAGATGTCTCTGAGCTGTAACTCAGCATCAGTGCACAGCACATTTCTTGCGTGGTTTAATTAATAAAGACAGGTACTTAGGGGCAACAGTGTTCCCATTGGATATTCTCTCAGTGTGAACTTCATCTTCTGTCCCTCAGTGAATCCCTAGCTGCCCTTAAGTGAATTTCATCTTTGGAAAGAGTTGCATATCCAATTGTGATATTAGAGTCTCATGTTAAATGAACCAAAGAATCAACTCTTCTGGTTATGATGGTGTTGCAATTTCAGTAGTGAAAGTAAGAAAAAAAAAATCAATCAGTAATATCACTCATACTTAAACTCCTTTTGAAACAATTGAAATGTCACTGGAAGAAGGAATATCTTTTGTGTGATCTCAAACTCGGTTGTTTAGCTATTTTTTTTCTATCTGATGTAAGTACCTTTTGTGGTAAGAAAATACTGCATATGATCAAAAGTTAAAAATTAAAAACAAACAAAACACTCTCAATAACAATATAAGTGTAATTTGGCTTCTTTTTAGCCTGAGTGGATGTACTCAGACTTCAATAGGTAGTGTCACAGTAGATTAAGCCAGCTCTTTAGAAAGGTTTTACTGTCCCAGCTACTTCATAATTTTGTAATGATGAGTAATCGTTCTGGTTTATATAGATGATGTTTTAAAATAACCTTTTCTCTGCAAAATCTGCTGATTTTGCTTAGGCTATTATTTGGCTATTAATGTCCAACTCACAGCAAATCAATTTAGTTAATAAACAGCAAGTGAGACTGGACCATACAAAGTGCTTGTGTATTTACTTTTTTTTTTTTTCTTTTGTATAGCGGAAGGGAGGTTTTTTTACATATTATTTCCTTTACAGGACTCATTTGCTTTGTAGGACAATATACGTAGGTACTACCGCTGAAGGATTTAAAATCGGAATGCAAAATACTGTGCTCTCAACTCTTAATAATGCTGCACAGTTGACAACGAGCAAGTAACTACACAGTGGAACTTTTTTCCTTTTGTCAAAGAAATTAAGAAAGCCATTTGATTTGATTGCACACAAATAAAATTTCTTCCCCTGAAATGTACTAAAAAGATTTTTTAGTTCATTAATAAAACAATAGTTACCAGATATGTCTTTTTACTCTCTTTTTAGAATGTTTATTAACTTTTGGAAAGACACATGATCCAAGCCTGTTGTGTAAAGCAGGACGAAAAACATTTTCTGTTATATACTGTTCTGATTTTGAGGATAAGTTATGATCGTTGGTTGACTCTAAACTTTTGAGAGTTTAAGGAACTTGACTTTACCCTGTTTCATACAACACTTTGAACCTGGCAGAAATCTATAAAGCATAAACTTTCTGGTGAGTGTCACTATTTTTAATATGGGCTAAGCGCAGAAAATAGAAGCAGTTTGTTTGGAAACACATTTTTATAGCAGTATTTGTAACTCCTCATTTTCCCATGATTTTCTCTCTTAAGGCAAGGACAAATATAGCTTAACATTTACAATTGCCATTTATTTTACTCATAGAAATTGTGGTGATATCTGACGGATTATATTGTAAATGCACTTATTTGTGTTACTTCTATTGTATGACTTAATTTGCTTTTACAGATATTAGGCCTTGGAGTATAGATATATGAAGAAGTTGTTTCTAATTATCTTTTAAAATGCTGTAAATGGCAATGAAGAAAGCAAGAACCTCTAACTTTATAGACTCTTGGAAGTTTTAGGGAATATAGCAGAAGACCTTAACCTTTTGAATGGTAGATGTTTGTCCTAAGTGGAATTGAATCTGTGGTTTCACCTCAAAGATGTTGTACACATTTGATTTATCCCTGTGAGTACAATTATTTCTTTTGTTATTGCTTTGACAGCTACAAAAGCTGATGGATTTGCACTATATTTCCTGGGAGAATGCAATAATGTAAGTATACTGGATTAAAATTCTGTTTTTCTGTACATTCACAAATATGTTTTCTATTATGATAATGGTGGTAATGAAAAAAATATTCTCTGCATTTAAATCCTTGGTCTTTTGGTTTTGTTTTTTTTTTTTAAGGTTTGGGAGTAATGCTATTGTTTCTCTGACTCTGGAAGCTAAACTTGTGATTTAACCCTATTATTAATTGTCTTTAAGAAACAGAGATCTTAACTTGAATTTAATGTCTGCATAGCCTTTTCTTTGCATCTAGTTATCTCCATGTTTTTTTAAATGTTAATTGTCAGCTGCAACTTGATAGTGAGGTAATGTAGATTTCAGATGTAGATTCTGGTTGACATAAAATAAATTATACATTTAAAATTTAGTTTCTGATGTAATAATTCAAATGACAGTGAGTCCAATATTTGTTCTTTTGTTATTTGAATGTTAGAATACCTTGCAGCTTTTTCTATCCAGTTTAATTTTTACACTTTGCATGATACAAGACTTTGGCTATCAGAAGAAAATGCAGTCTAGTACTTCAGTCAGTTCCCTCAAATTAAAAATCAGAATTTATCAGAAATTCTATGTCTTTTATTGGTTCAAGAAACAAGGAGTGACTAGAGACGAAAATATTTTTTCTCATTGTTTTTTTCCTTACTTTACACAGCCAGTTTTAATAGCTTATTATTGTATAGTCCATTAGCCAATTTCCTTTGCTTTTTGTGCAATATTTGAATTCAGAAAAAATGGTAAACATTACATTTTTGAAGGAGTGGAAACTGAATTGAAGATGTACAAACCTGCAAGTAATTTGATGTGGAAGAAGGCCCATACAGAAATTTGCTATAAGAAATGCAAATGAGGGTTTGCATTTTTTGTGATATGGCTGTTTCATATAATAAAGATAAGCCACTTTATTATTTAAAAAATCTTTTTTCTTTCAATGACTTCTGTTAAGCATATAAATAGCATATATTTTTAAATAACTCTTTCACCAAGATGTATAATTTAAGAAACATGTTGTTCATCATTTGTGAATGCCATCTTTGGTTCTAATTAGTAGGTGACATTCATTGTCATAGGTAGGGAGTGATGCAAGCAGTCACTGAAAATCTCCCTCCTGCTGCCAGAGGCAGGAACCTTCAGGAAGTTCAGCCTCAATCCCAAATGCACAGTGCTGGACAGCTTTGGTGGCAGTGACTGCCTGCTAGCTGAGCATGTTCATCTCTAAATGCTTTGTAAAAGATTACAGTAAAATTAACTTTACTGCTTGAGACAAGGAGAATTCTTGCTATGGTTTATCCTATTATATTAGTGTGACATAATATGAGACTACTCACAGCCTTTTGATGCCCTGAGGGCCTAGGTACTATATGACCTTCAGCTTTTTCTTTTCTTTTTTTTTTTTTTTTTTTTTTTTTTAAAAACATTTTGGACAGATAAACCTATTTGCTTCACAGTAGTCCAGTACAACTCTTTCCTGAAAAAAAGCTTCAACCACTAAAAACTCACACTGACTTTATTAACCACTGCTGTGTAGCTGCATCACCTAAAATGGAATGTTCTTCTTGTAGTTGTTATAGGGACTGATCCCAAGTCCTCTGAAGCTAGTGGGGGATTTTCCATTCACTTTAGTGGGCTTTGGGCCAAACTCATATTTGGAGTCTTGTTACTAAATGGTAATGCATTAGCCTATTTCTTATAATAAATTGACATTGTAAGTTAATTTGGATAGCCCTTGTATCTTGAATATTTCATTTAAAGGATGTATCCAAGTGAGATTAGCCATTGCCCAGCGAGCACTGGCAATGTTGTTTCATTTGTTTTTGTTAGATGTCTTTTTTTAATGGGGAAAAAAAAAAGATTTTGTATAGCAAAAGCAGGAATGAGCTTCATTTCTTTAAGCTGAAATTTAAAAAAAAATTAAACCTTTTGATTAGCCTGGATTAAGTACTTGCTGACTATGTATGGCCATGTGTTGAAGAACAGTCTCTGCTTTTTGGTGGCTTAATATTTTGGTGCTAAATGTGTGACTTGAATTTTGCAAATTTGGCAAAATCCTTCCCCTCCCCCCACTGCCACCCCCTGACTCTACCCCCCTCAATTTAGCGTTGGGCTTTTTGTTAGCTTAGGAAATATCTGTTTGTTATCCAGCTAGGAGTGTCTGTGTGTGTGTACATCTTTTTGATAGTCAAGTTTTGGGATAGGAGTGTGTAAAAATGGAGGAAACCTATTAACAAGTAGATAACTGCTTTCAAATGGTTTTCTAATATTTAGTGATGCATGTTCTGACTATATTCTGTAAGGGAATTTATGACCAAATCTGAAGCACAAGCACTAACTCTACTTCATTTCAATTCCTGCTTTAAATGTGTATAGGTATACTTTTGCTTGTTTAAATTAATCCAGATTTGAGAATTTTGGTTTGTATTAATCTCATCAAAGGAGCATTTTTGCAAGATGAGATATCCTTAGCTACCTTTAGCCTGGATTATGTAGTGAGTTTCTAATTAGGATATAAGATAATTTTCATTTTACAAAAATGCTTAGTTTTTGCAAAATGAAAACTAGTAAATTATTACTACATACTTTCTGCTATTATTTCTTAATATTAAGAAAATTGCGATATCATTGCAAATTGCTTTTTTAATGGATTATTAAGAGTGGATAGTAAATAATTCTTTGGTGCTGTATTTAATATATGCAGAATTTTCTTAACATGAAAATTACATTAGAACTGCAAGAAAATTCATCTAGTCTGAGGAAAAGCTCTAGATTAGCCAGTCCCTTTCTTTTTGCAAAACATAGATTATACACTTGCCTTTAAAGGAGGACAATAGAAAAAATCCTTTGACATTTAACAGCACAAAAGTAAGTTTGTAAGAATATCTGTCCATATAAAAAGTTCCTTTACAGCCTAATTTTCTTTCTCTCTATTGAAGTCTACATACTGTATTAGAGTTGGAAAACAGCATAGGGACTAAGTAACTTCTGGCTGACAGTTCAGGTTAAATGCCTTCAGGATATTTACTTGAGTGAATTTACTTGAAATAGAAGATGCCACATCAATTGCAGATTACAGTGCATTTCTTTATGCAAGTATTACTTAGAATTGCTGCCAGAATGGTTCCAGTGTGAATAGTTCAGTTATTTTAGCATTCTTCTGGGTGTTCAAATTGCTTGGAAGCACTACCACTCGGTGCAGTCCTAACTGAGAGTGTTCTGATGGTGATTCAGCTTTTCAAACAATTGCCCTCTAGTAAGTAAGCCCCCCTTGCATACCCAGCTCCTTCCTTCCCCATGAAGTCGCCCAGTGGTTCTGCCTGTGCTATGTATAGGCTAGAATGAATTGCAAAGTACTTGTGCTAAAAACAGTAGCACTTCCTCATCAGGGTCATAATCTGAACAGACCTAGACCCATACTGCCTCTGGTTTTTGAACTTTCTTCATATCTAAAGGATTATCTTTGTCCATGGGTTAGTGTAGTTATGCAAATAGAGTTATTTTTTCTTAAGGTACATAGCAGTCATTTTACAAATACTATATACTGGAGAGCAGAAACACTTCCAAATGAGACTGGAATGTTTCACAACTCTCCAGCAAAGGACTTGACTTTATTTTCATTTTTATTTCTTATGGGGATGAATGTACAGTTTATAATTCTCCTGTTATGATCTTAACTATCATCTTCAAACATGACGTAAAGGATTTACTGAAATCCTCATATTGGATACTGTGTGTGTAAATCAATTGCCTAAGTATCATGCTAGCTAGGCATTTAAGTCCATAAGCTGACATCTTTACAAGGCACTATTTCTAAAACACTTATCACAGTTACAGAGTTCCTAATGTATTACTATATTAATCAATTTTTCAGATACTTCTTTATAGTTCTTACTTGTATGAATAATTTGCCTCATTATTACACCGTGATTCCTACATAAAGATGTATGAGTTTGTGTTTAACAGGCATACACTTAAAGCAGCTTTTACTTGGTCTTGTGTTCCTTATGCAAATTGTGTTGACAAACAGATTATCCTCGCTTCAGACAGAAGTTTCCAATAGCTTTATTGTAAGAAATTATTATGCGAGGCTACAAATATATGCACATACTCTGTGCTTCAGGGTGTATTTTATTAAGCCATCTTGAATTTCTGGTCATGCAAAAGTTGTTGCTGCTTGATGTGTATGCAGTGCCACCTGGTGAGTTTATGAGGTGGGTGATTTGAATTATTAAGAACCCAGTAAAAAACATGTACTGCTTGCTAACTGCCTCTGGTTTTTGAATGCATAGGCATCTTCTCTGAAATTTGAGTCTTTCAGACATGTTTCCAGGTGAAATCCTTCTAGTTGCAAGTCAATTCAGGAAACTTTGGTCCTTGAATTCTAAGACAATGGATTTTTTTTTTTTTAAATTTAAAGTGAAAGAAATCTGTTGCTTTCTTATTTGCCAGTGAATAGCGATACTCAATGGAGAATGAAAGCTCTTGTTTAGTTACAGTATTTGAGTTTAAATTTGAGTCAATAAATTATCAAGCTGAAAGAAATAAATAACTGTCAAAATGTATTTTAGGGAAATTTTGGTCTTGTTTAATTTAATATTCGGGTAAATGGACTTGTGGAATGTGTTCACGATTAATATAGTATCATAAAATATCCTGAGTTGGAAGGGACCCACCAGGACCAATGAAATCCCATTCCTGGCTCACATAGGACACCCCAAGAATTACCCTGTGCCTGAGAGCATTGTCCAAACACTTCTTGAATTCTGTCAGGCTGGTACTGTGAGCACTGTCCTGGGGAGCTTTTCCAGTGCCCAACGATCCTCTGGATAAAGAATATTTTCCTAATACCCAACCTAAACCTCCCCTGACACAACTTCAGGCCATTCCCTAGGGTGATGTCACTGGTCACCAGAGAGAAGAGATCAGTGCCTGCCCCTCTTCTTCCCCTCACAAGGAAGTTGTAACTGCAGTGAGCTCTCCCCTCAGTCTCCTCC